CTTGCAGGATTTGGTTTCTCTGAGTGTTTTTACCTGAAATCTGCTATATTTTTATTGGATCACTCAGAAAACAGTCAGCCAATCAGAAGAGAGGCTCAGAGCCTCCTCTCTTCTGATTGGCTCACTGACCTGTTGTTACTAGAGCTCCAGAGAGAAGCCTGAGAGAGGAGGTGTGAAACTACACTGAGATGGTTTAAATATGATGTGTCCAGGCTGAAAATGCAGGAACATTGTTAAGATTGTGTGTGTGTGTGTGTGTGTGTGTGTGTGTGTGTGTGTGTGTGTGTGTGTGTGTGTGTGTGTGTGCAGAGATCTCGTTCCGGGTGTGGCAGTGCGGCGGCAGTCTGGAGATCCTCCCCTGCAGCAGAGTGGGTCACGTGTTCAGGAAGAAGCACCCGTACGTCTTCCCTGAGGGAAACGCCAACACCTACATCAAGTAAGTTCCTCTTCAGAAACTCGTCTGTGAAGGTCACCTCAGTCTGACGGAGTTAACCCCTCGAGGCCCAGTCCCTGCCGTCCTACTACCCACCATCATTCAAATCGGATGTTTGCCTTCAGGCTTGCTGCCTTTTAACAGGAAAAGTGAAACTGTTTTTGGTGGATATCCTTCATTATTAGTATAGCCATTTCTGGCAATGAAATGTTACTTTTTGCAATAAATTCATCCACTGTTTCCTCAGAAGAATAATCCAGGTGTCAAGTCAAACATTTAAGGTGAAATTCAGTACACCATGGAGAATGAAATGAAAGCAAAAATATCTCTCACAAAAAAGTTTGCTAACTAGCCTAGCATTTGCAAGTTAGCCAAGCGAGCTAATGTTAAGACAAGTAAACAAGTGGACTTTTAAAGAACCTCTGGCTCATCATTCATAATAAACTTTTCACATATTAGAAACTGCACAAATGAAACTCTCAGGAAAAACAGGATTACTTTACAAACTCATAGAAATCTGTCCTGTGGGTGAAATTCAGTGATAAATATATATAATAATATGTTTCTTGTTTCAGACATGGCGGCCATCTTGAAATTTCTAATGGCATTTTTCAAATTAAAGGCCCCAGAGGGAAAAACACACACATTTTTGGTGCTTGTTTCCACACTTGACAGATTACTGCAGTTATCTGCTGCTGTATGTTTATCAGCTGCTCAGTGAAGTGACTCTGATCATAATCTACCTGTCACCTGGCGTATCGTCCTCTCTACCTGCTCAGTTTCCCTCCCCGGCTGGAGCGCCTGAGAACAGGAGGCGGAAACAGTCTGAGTTCAGTCCTGAGCTCCCGGCTGATGATTGACTCACTGCTCTTCACTGTAAACACTCAGCAGCGGCAGACGCGCCGTGTTCCCGCTCCGAGCCGGGCGTTGCAGCCGCCGAACGCCGCTCACATCATTGTTAAAGTGGATTTACAGCTGCCTGGGAGCCTTTGAGCTGCGACTACAATATTATCCTATTAGCATAAGCTGTATTCTGTTCTCTGGCCCTTTCAAACAGCCCAAACAGAGCGATGTTTACAGGCAGCCCAATAATCCATTAACAGGACTAATGTGCTCAGACTGCATGTGAATTGATCTCGTATAAATAGATTAATCAGGGCTACAATGAGGACGCCGGGTCCATTCAGGTTATAAAACCGACTGCGCCGCGTGAACCGCAGTGTGTTACAGCAGCAACAAAACACAGTGTGGCATTAGGAAGCAGTGCAAAGCATTCTGGGAAGTAGAAGACACAGAGTGAGTTTTTGTCGGAAGCTAAATTGCAGCAGTTCATCACAAACTGACTCGTGGGATTTATCTTCTGCTTCAACAGTGTCGTAACTCATGAACCTCGGCGTGTGAGCAAGGCACTGGAGCTGCCGGGGTTGGGAGTTGAGTTCCCGTAGCGAGGTTGGAGGGGTTGGGTTCCCGCTGCTGAACGGCTCTCTGGAGCAGCTCATCCACTCACTTATTTATTTTTATTTTTCCAGCCGAGCTGTTTAGTCGCTGTTCTCGCTCCCTGTTGGCCGTTACCGAGGCAACATCTGTTCCGCGCGGAAGACGATGACTTTCATTCGTATCACGATGATGTTTGTGATCAGCGTCGATCTCCCAAACAAAGCGGCTGTTGTTCGGCGCCTGTTGCTCCGCCGGTTAATTAGCCGCAGGCTCGGCGCGGCCAGGCCCCGTTATGAATATGCTAAATAAAAAGAGCTGCTTAATAAATCGATTACAAAGATTATGCTGTTTCCTCCCTCGCAGAGGCCTGCTGCTGCGACCCTGTGTGTGTGTGTGTGTGTGTGTGTGTGTGTGTGTGTGTGTGTGTGTGTGTGTGTGTGGTTTTAATTGTAAGCCTGTGTGTGACACATATTTATGTTCACACTCCTACAAGCATCTCATCTCCTCTGTCTCTCTTCCCCTTTCATTAAAGCGCCACAGCCTGTGTGTGTGTGTGTGCTGCCTGTAATGGAGGGTTTCTGTCATTTCAATGAGATAGTTCACAGCTCATAGAAACTCAGCTAATAGCTAATTACTACAGAGAGAAAGGAGAGAACGAGAGGGAGCGAGTGAACGGGGATAAGAGATGGAGAGAGAGTGTGTTGGTGCAGCGTGGGTGAGTAAAGCACAGAGAGTAGAACAGGGTTTAACTGAGGGAGGAAACAGCGGTGGGCAGATCCACACCTGCTGTAAACACGGCGCCGTGTCTGGGTATGAAATCTGATCTGTGAGAGGAAACACCAGCACATCTGGAGGAGGCGTGTCTCGCACCGCGACTCCATTTACACTCAGCATGAACATGTAATCTGTGTCTGTGGAGACAACACATCTGGAGGTGGGTGGATGTTTGTGTTTGAGGAGGCAGCAGGTGAACGCTGGGAGCCTCCTCCTCCTCCTCCACCAGGAGCTGTGACCCAGCTGAGGAGGAGGAGAGGAAGTGTTTAGATTCTGCATTAGTGGTGAATCTGTGTGTTAACATTCATGTGATCACCGCTGTGCTCCGACATTCACAGCTGCATGATGAAACACAGAGCTGGATGAAAACAGCATGTTCTGATTCAGTAAAACAAAATCTGAAGATTGATTTTAGTCCATTAACCACAAATTATATTTGTATAAATGATTCTGCTGCAATAATGTGGAACACTGTAGAGATCAATAAGCATTCAGCTGAGGATTTATGGTTGGATTCATTTCAGTCGAGGTCGTTTTGCAACTACAAGCAGAGTGTTTCAAACTCACCTGGTGTGTTCAAGGAAGCACTTTCCCTGCAGCCGGGATGAGATTCATCCTGCAGCAGTGTCCCTGAACGCAACGTTTTCAGTGTTGTGTTTCCCTGCTGCGTGATTTGAAGCAGCATGGTGTGGGAAATTATGGTCTAAGTGTGTGTGTGTGTGTGTGTCTGTGTCTGTGTCTGTGTGTGTGTGTGTGTGGTTACAGGAACACTCACCGCACAGCCGAGGTGTGGATGGATGACTTCCGCCTCTTTTACTACTCTGCTCGTCCTGCAGCTCGAGGGAAATCTTATGGAGAGTAAGAACACACAGACACACGCACACACACGCACACACACACACACACACACACAACCAGGAGACTGGTGTTGAGCTTGTTGATGTCTCCTGGTCGTGGAGAATTCAGGATCAGGACAGTCAGTGTCGTCTCCCACAGACATGACCATGCTCAGTAGTTTAAGGTGGACTGGTCCGTTTTTTAAGGTGGACTGGTCTGTTTGTGGCTTTGTTGCATGTCATCCACCTGGCTCTCTCTGCAGGTTTCCTTTTTTATCTTCTCTGTAAACTGTCAGCAAAAATTACAAACAAGAAAAAAATGGAATAAATTCCGAGGAAAACAGCTGGTCTGGCACAGCTCGACAGATTGTTGCTGCTTGTGGAGGTTGATTAAGACAAATATAAGGCTGAAACCAGAAGCTGCAGTTCCTCTAACGACCACTAGAGTCCGGCTCCAACAGTGAGTCAGTCCCCATAGACTCCCATGTTAAAATGTCCAACTTTACAGCAGAAATAAACATGTTTACAGCCTGGTACAAAAACTGTTTTGGTCTCTAGAGCTAATTTCCTCCTTCATGACACCTGTTTATATAACTCACCTGTTTACATTTTATTAAGGACCAAAGTTATGGAGGATTGAGGGTGTGGCCTCTTTTTGAATTAGCTGGGAGTTAGGAGGCGGAGTCAGACACTGCCCAGATGGCGACAGTGGAGCAGCTCACTCTGAGCTTCAGAAACCTGTGGGTGACGTCACAGAGGCGACGGCCATCTTTATTTACAGTGTGTGGTTTGAACAGGAAGTGTCTGGTGTTACGTTGGGCTTTAACGTCTCCAACATAAAATAAATAAAACAGCTGGTTGAACTCAGACTGAAGGTGAAGCAGGAACTGAATCAGCTGTTTAAATGTCAGTGTTTATCAGTCAGACTCAGGTAAACACTGACATTTAAACACATCACGCACCTGCTCCCTCTGCTCCACTGGACCTCAGCTTTTATTAGACTGCGGAGAGGTTTCTGACCGCCTGGTTCACTGTTCCTCTGACTGACTGTTTCTGTATCTGACTGTTTCTGTTGGTCTGTGCCCGTCTGTTTGTGTGTTGTCAGTATCCGAGGCAGAGTGGAACTTCGCAAGAAGCTCAAGTGCAAATCCTTTAAGTGGTACTTGGACAACGTTTACCCAGAGCTCAAGTAAGTGTGTGTGTGTGTGTGTGCGTGTGTGTGTTTTGCTGAACAGACTAAGAAGAGAAATTTCAAGTCAAATCTGATTTTATTACTGTCTGCTTCATTTCTTAAGGACATTTTTTATTATTATTGTTATTATTGTTAGTCTGACGGATGTGACACACACTGATCAAAGACTCTCTGCTTCATTCTGACTCTGCTGGTTTGACTCAGTCTGAGGTCTGAGTCCTCCAGCTGTGCCTCAACATCTGGATCCTGATCAGAGACTCAGACAGAGACGTTGCAGTCAGAGAGGGGAGGCTTCATTTCATTAGCACATCTCATGGAGCTCTGAAGCTCGTTAGTCTGTCGCTGCATCGACCTCGCGTCAGTTCACCGGTCAAAGGTCAAGTTGAAGCAGACAGTCACGGAGAGCAAAGGGAAGGTACACCTGAAAACGGTTGCTGTGGAAACGGAGCTTCTTCACAAGCTCAAATTCCCCAAGATGCTCTCTGTTCCTGGTGACTCTCACAGCCTCTTCTTTGCCACTCCCCTTCTTTGTAGCGTGGCTAATGCTAACGCTAGCTTCTTAGCACAGGAAAGAGACATCCCAGATAACAAAATGAAACCTCTGCCCCAACATCCGCCTTGGTCCATCTGACAATCATGCCGTATATGGGCCAGATTCAGGCTGTGGAACCAGGTGTAAACTGGGCCAGAAGAAAACCAGCATGTGGCCCGGGTATGGGCTGGATTTATTTTGTTGCCTGGGATCTTTGTTGCTGGTGATGATAGACTGTAAACACAGCAGGAGCTTCCTGCTTCGTAGTGACAAACTCCGCCTCTATTTGCTCCGCCCTCCCCTGAACAGCGCGCCAACCTGAGCGGCGTCCGGTCTGAAAGATCCGTCACAGCTCAGACCAGACCAGGTTTGCTCTGGTGAAGTTTACTCACATTTTGAGGCAAACTGTGGAGCTCAGTGCATTCACCTTCAAACACACACACACACACACACACACACACACACACACACACACACACACAAAGGCAATGAACGCCTCATTCATTGTCTTTGTGTTAAGTCTCTCTTTCGTCCTGATTGAGCTCCCAAGAGCCCTAGCTCCTTAGACTGACTGCCCTATCTACACACACACACACACACACACACACACACACGCACTGTATAACATCATAAGCCCTGGCGGTGACACACATAAACACCTTCAAGACACATAAGTGCTCTCATTTAAACACTGGTCCTCTCCTTCACACAGACACACACACACACACACACACACACACACACACACACACACACACACACACTTAAATACACATTTATCCACTGCAGGCTGGTGTTAATCCGTCAGAATGGAATTAACAGGCCGGCTCTCGGGGGGAGACGGACCTGACCCTTAAAACGCAGAATAACCTTTAACGGGTTATTAAAACAGAGGGAGATAGCAGATTGAATTAATGCTACAGGGCTTAAGCCCCAGTTTACGGCGCGGCCGAGAATTTAACAAGAAAGACTGAGGAAGTTTATCAAAGAGGAAGATTGGGAGGAAACTTTCTGAAGTAATGAGTTCAGAGAATCGCGGCCTTGAGCGGATTTGTTAACAGCGCAGCGCGTCGGGTTTAAGAATCCTGATAAATCGCCGTCAAACGAAGGTGATATCTAGATGTAGTTAACGAGATGATTGGTCTGCCTCGTCTCAGTCAGGTGAAGACATGTTTCTGTGCAGTTACCATGGAGACGTTAACGGTGTTTCCCCCGTCAGGGTCCCAGACGACTCGGACTCTCAGTCCGGGCCGATCAGACAGAGGCAGAACTGTCTGGAGTCTCGCAGGGTGGAGGGGCAGGAGCTGCCCGTCCTCACCCTGGCCCCCTGCATCGGGACGGAGGGCGTCCCCGCCATCAACCAGGTGAGTCTTCACAAAAATGTGAGGTTTTAAGGCCCATGGCTCTCACTGTTGTACCGTTAGCTGTCTGTCTAATCCTCAGGCTCTCTGTCACTGTTGTTTGCTGCCATATTATATTCATTACCGGCGTGCAATGCATCTTGGGATAGGCTGAGCCACAAAGGACCCACCTGTCGGTGACGTCATTGTCCGGGAAAAGAAGGACGAGTCTTTGTGTCTGTCTGAACTCACGGTCTCTGGTGGTTGTCGTTGTTTTCTGTCTGACCACTGGGAGGCGCCAACGTCACAGTTAAACTTTACTCTCAGTCGCTTCAAGAGAAATCCTCAAAAAAAACAATCATTCATTTAAAACACTGTTTTTAGGTAAATCTGTTTCCGTCCTTCAGAGTGTGTTTTTCTAAAGGAATAATATTTATTATAATATTTATAATCTGAGTCATTTCTTTAGAATTAGGAAAAAGCGACGACCACAAATGAAAAACGGCAACGTACATTTTTCATGATTCAAATGTCGTCAGTCACCGGACTCCTCCACCATCTTCATCTCTTTCTGCACTCGATCCTGTGAGTGATTCCTCCTCCTCCTCCTCCTCCTCCTCTTCCTCCTCTTCCTCCTCCTCAACTCTTTCTTTCTTTCTTTTCAATCTTTCAGTTTCTTTATGTCTTTCCTCTTTCTCTCTCCTGCACCTCTGAAGCTGTGGCGGAGCAGCTCTCGCTCTCAGCTCCGTCTCTATTTCCCTCATCTCTTTAAACGTTTCTGCTCTCAGCTGCTCCCTCTCTCCGCGGGGTCAGTCTCTTAACCGTCTCCATTTCTGCCTGGAGACTAAACTCTGGTGTCTTTGCTTACAAATGGAATTAGAAATACTCGTGTGTCGTCTTTTCAAACCCTAAAGTGAAATGTGAGATTTTAGAAGAGGAGGATAAATGAACATTTACTTTTTCCTCAAGCTCCAAAATGCAGGATATGAACATTTCCTTCCTCTTCTAATACGCCCTCTGTCACGTCTGGAGAAACAACGCAAGCAGCTGTTTATCAGGAGAATCAGAAAAGAAGTGTTTATAAGACATTTAAAACTAGAACCACCTCCTCCTGCTTGTATCCCTCCTCCACTTAGACTAGTTCCAGGCTACATCCCTGTTTATCCAGAGTCAGATAAAATATTTTGTCATAATTACTGTGTGAAGTCTTGAATTATGGCTGAAAAGTGTTTTGTGAGGGCACTGTGACCTTGACCTTTGACCTTTGATCACCAAAAGTCAACCAAATCAGTTCATCCTTGATTCCCAGTGAAGTGACAGCTTCATGATGTGATGACATAGTCTCTATGTCGACACTTCCTACTGTTGCAGCTCACCTGTCTCCTACAGGAGAAAGAGTTTACCTGTGATAGGTTAAGGAGTTACTGGATAATTATGTGTTTTAGTCATATTTGACTCTGTCATTTCGTTTATATTCTATTACACTGTAAGTAGTTTTATGAATTCAGAGTGTATTTGTTAAAGACACATGATAATGTGACATAGACGTGTCAGACAAACTGTCGTTCCTCCATCCTCTGTGATGAAACCGTGACGCTGTCCGTGGTGCTGAAGTCACAAACTCCTCATCTGATGATAAATTGTCTCTAAAGTAAATATCAATAGAGACGTGTTGTATCAATGTTCAGAGCGACCTCGGCTTCCTGACGTAGTGAAGTAGATGTTGTTAGAGTCAAATGTTGCTTAGCGATCTCTGATTTCTACGGCAACGTGTTGGAATGTGTACGGGCGCCGTAGCGTCACTTAAACTGTCGCTGCTTAAAGTCTCTAATAAAACTTATAAAACATCAATCCACAGATGCACAAAAGAAGAACCAAAAACCATCTCAGTGTAGTTTTACATCTCTTCTCTCAGGCTTCTCTCTGGAGCTCTAGTAACAACAGGTCAGTGCGCCAATCAGAAGAGAGGAGGCTCTGAGCCTCTCTTCTGATTGGCTGACTGTTTTCTGAGAGATCCAATAAAAATATAGCAGATTTCAGGTAAAAACACTCAGAGAAACCAAATCCTGCAAGGTTTGGATGGTGGGTCCAGGTGGGCGGGGCTTGGTGACTGCTTTGTTGTGACATCACAAAGTTCCAGAAGTCCTGACGGCTGGTTTTAAGGCTCAGTTTCTGAATACAGGCTGTGTGCATTTCTCTGTGGACTGAGGCTTTGATACTTTCACAGTATTAATATAGAAGCTAGAGCTGATCTATAATCACACTACACATGGACACAGACCTTTACACTGGAGGAGCTTTAATGTTGGTTTTTCTTCTCTGAGAGTGACTCAGGATATCTGCAGACATCAGAGGAATAAACTGGTTTCTCACTTTTCAAAGGAGAAACTGACTGAAAAATGTATTTAATTCTGAGTTGAGTGACGTTCCCGCCTCTCAGACCTCTGAACATGAACAAACAGGGATTAAGAGCCTCCCTCCAGGGTTCCTCCACTGTGGCTGATAAGGGAGAGTTTCTCATCGACACATCCCAGCGGTTTTCTCTGCAAGTTGAGGGATTTGAACCGGCGACCTTCCAGTCACGGGCCGGCCTCTGTAGCCTCGAGGCATTTCAGCTGCCGACATGTTCGCTCTCTGCGCGGCGGCTTGTTAGAGCGGATCACAGCTTCCACGCTCGCTCCGCTCTCGGCATAATGAGAATCCTACGGGTATTAATTATGGCCGAGAGAAGGCAGAGCGCACACACACACACACACACACACACACACACACACACACACACACACACACACACACACACACACACACACACACACACACACTGTTTGGTGTGTTGCTGTGCTGCAAGTAAAAATATGAGCACAGTGAGAGGTCAGACACACACAACGACTAATAACTGGGCAAACACAAGCACGATACACACACACACACACACACACACACACACACACACCTTCTGCTGTGACATTATTATGTTTTGTTTGACTCTCTCACAGGAAGCTTATTCACACCTACTAATGACCAATGAGAGAGAGAAGAGGAAGATTTCCTCATCTGTCTACACAGATAACAACCAACACACACACACACACACACACACACACACACACACACACGATGCTGTATAAATGAACTCACCTCAGCAGAGCTCTAACACGAGGACGACCCTCAAAATAACAATAGTAAACTTCCTCAAATTTGGCACAAACATTAACTTGGTCAAAGGTCAAAGGTCACTGTGACCTCACAAAACACATTTTTGGCCATAAGTCACAAATTCATTTACTAATTACGACACAATTTAACTCAAATGTCTATAAGGATGAAATGAAGTGATGACATTTCATATCCAAAAGGTCAAAGGTCAACAAATTTCCTATAACTCAGCTGGTTGGCGGAGGGATACGACCGTACGTCCGTCCCATTCTCTTGGACACGATGTCTCTGTAACGTTTTGACGGAACTTCTTCACATTGGGTCTAAACGTTCACCTGGACTGAAAGATGAACTGATTCGATTTTGGTGGTCAAAGGTCAAAGGTCAAGGTCACGGTGACCTCAGAAAATGTGATTTTGCTCTTGTGAACGCGACATCTCCAGAAGATAAAAACTGTTTTGGCGAAGTCGTACAAGCGTGAGGCGGAAATTCTAGTTTTGTAATTGTATTCATGGCGACATCATCAGACATTTACACCAGCAGCTACAGCAGAGTCTCTCAGTAGATCATGAGACGTGAAACCGCTGCTGTAAACACAAAGACCTGGTTTCACTTCCTCTGAATCAAAGAGGATTTTCAGTGCAGAGCCATTTTACACCAACAGTCACACAGAGAGAAATCAATGGTCGGAGCGGAGAGACCAATTTGTAAACTCACAGCAGCAGAAAACAGAAAGATTGTAATGTCTCAGATTCAGATGTATTCTCCTGCTGCACTGATAATGTGAAGGTTTCACATGATGCGACGGAGCGGACACATGTACTGAAGCAGCCGGAGAGCGACAGGCGTGAAATACCAAGCAGCTCCGTCACCTTCAGTCGGCTTCACACACGAGGCTGCAGCTGTCGACGTCAGTCTGAGTTCACTTTGTTTCTAACCTTTCATCCACCTGGGGACACCTGTGCTGAGGAGCAGGCTGCTGTTCCAGGTCTGAGTTCACCTGCAGACCTGTAACTGATCACAGCCCTGCGGCACGCCTCCACACCGAGGTTTAGAACTAGACTTTTAAATATATAAGAATCAATCATGACTGTAATCATTAATTACAACACTAATAATGTATCAATATGACTAATGATGTTTTATTGTCTAATAACAACATGACAGTTATTAAAGTAGTTCAGCAGCTGATGTTTATTATTAACTCCTCAATGGAAATGTGAGACACCTGTACTGATGCTATGTGTGTTCTCGATTTGATTCACTTTGATGTGACCTTTAGGTGTGACACACACACGCACACACACACACACACACACACACACACAGGTTAAATTTACCATGGAACCTGCCAGCACTGACCTAGTTACACATTCTCTTCTTTGTGTGTGTGTGACTGAAATAGCTACACGTTAAGGTTTCTAATACACACACACACACACACACACACACACACACAGGAAGGCTGCTGTGTCTGTGTGTTTAATCTTCTTTATGTTTCTATATTTTATCATTCAACATGTTGTAAAGTTGTTTTTCTTTCTTCCTATCTTGTTTGTTTTATTACAGCTATAAACTAGTTTGTTAATGAGCTTGTTAACACTTTATAAACTATTTATAAGCTGTTATAACACATTAGATAACAAGGCAACAGTTGCCATATAGTGAGCCCACATGTATCTGTACTGTGCTTCATCACGTTTGTTCAGTTACTAACAATGAACCAGCGTCAGCATCTTAATGGTGAGGACGTTTCATCTGGCAGATCACATGATCACATCACATGATCACATCACGTGACCAGGTTCATCCTCCGAGGCCTGGGCAGTGTTGTTTACCTTGACCTGCTCTCACAGCCGTCCTCTGTATAATCTCAGCTGCTGATCAGACGTATTGATGAGTTAATACCATTTATAACTGGGAAGTCATTAATAAATGACGATGTGTTTCACACTTTACTAAAAGTCAGGTTAATGAGCAGTAAGCATTGACTTGATCTTGCCAAATAGTGAGCTGCATCAGTGTAAGAAAACTGTGTTATAACTTGTTAATTTATGATTTATAAAGTGTTAATGACCAAATTAATAACCTCATTATAAACCATTTATGAATCCTTCCTGAGGGACTCTTATTGTGAAGTGAAATGTTTCCTCCAGCTGTTAAATGGCTGAATGTGCGACACAGAATGAGGCGCTCAGGTGAAGCAGCAGCTAAGTGTAAATGTCACTCTGCTTCCTGTCTCCCTGAACGACTTTATCTTCCTGAGCACTCATCAGAAACACAACCAAAATCTACAGCAGCTCTCCAAAATGTCAGTTTTCAACCCCCCCATCCGACAAACGGCGAGCTGACACACTGAGCGAGATAAGAGACGACTGACCGTGTCCTCTCCGTCCACAGGAGTGGGTGTACACTCACGGACAGCAGATCCGTCAGCAGCAGCACTGTCTGTCTCTGTCCACCACCTTCCCCGCCTCCCAGGTCCTGCTGCTGCCCTGCAACATGGCCGACGGCAAGCAGGTCTGCTCACACACACACACACACACACACACACACACACACACACACACACACACACACACACACAAATATATTTCAGGCAGACAGGTGGTGTGTACCCACAGGCAAGTCACCATCGTATATCATGGCTGATAAATTAATCTAAATGTTAATTAATCTAAAGCTAAATTTGTCTAAAGATGATTGTTACACACACACACACACACACACACACACACACACACACACACTTGTCATTACCTGACCACTGGGCACCTTGACGGCGTCCCAGAAGCCCCTGCAGCAGAGAACAACCTGACAACCAATAAATCACTTGAGAGAGAAAGAGGGGGAGGAGGGGGAGGAGGGGGAGGGGGAGAGAGGCACAGGTGGAAAGGTGAAGCAAGACAGACAAAAGAGGAGAAGGGGGGGGGGTGAGTCAGGGGAGACTAAGTGGGAGATGAGCTCATTACACCTCACCAACTGTTCAGTCTGCACAGACAGTCGTGTGTCATGAGACATGTGTTTGTAGCTACACAACAACAGCTACACACACATGAACACAAAGACAGTGACATCACACACACACACACACATGTGTGTGTGATGTGTGTGTGTTATCTCACCTGGTTTCTTACCTGAGGAGCCGTCCCTCCCCACTCTGCTGCTCACTGACTGTGACTTCAGCAGGTCAGCGTCAGCACCACAGAAGAAGAAGACATGCCACAAGGAAGGAAGGAAGGAAGGAAGGAAGGAGGGAGGGAAAGTCGTTAGCAAGGGTCCTTCATTGGAAGGATGAAGAAACAAAAGGAGAAACAAAGGAAGAAAGAAAGGAAGGAAGGAAGGAAGCAAGAAGAGGGTTTGTAATTAACAAGGAAGGAAGAATGAAACAAAAGACAGAAAGGAAGTAAGGAGGAACACAAAGGGAGGAAGAGAGACAGCAAGAATGAAAGAAGGAAACCAAGGAAGGATGTAAGGAAGGAAGTGAGAAAGACAGGAAGAAGGAAACAGGGAGACTCAGATGGGGAGGAAATGAAGGAGGAAGGTTGAAAAAGCGAAGGTGTGTGTCTGGTAATTGAGTGTTGTACACAACAAACACACACACACACACACACACACACAGGTTGTTATACAGCTGCAGGCGAGGCAACTCAGGTCTGTTTGATATATCAGATACCAGACTGTTAAATAAAGAGACTGTGTGTGTGTGTGTGTGTGTGTGTGTGTGTGTGTGTGTGTGTGTGTGTGTGTGTGTGTGTGTGTGTTCTAGCTGAGCCACTGAAGCGCATCGCTGTCATGTAACTGAAACTAGTAAAACTGTATACCAACACTCACACACACACACACACACATTCAGCGCTGTTATATGTCCCAGTTGAGTGTGTGTGTGTGTGTGTGTGTGTGTGTGTGTGTGTGTGTGTGTGTCAGAAGGCAGGAAGCAGAGAGATGATAGCTAATTAGAACGAAGATCCAGTGGAGAAACAGCCCAGAGCTGACTGGTCGAGAAACACGGAGACGGGGAGAGAGAGGGAGAGATGCAGAGCGAGGTTAAATTAAGGATAGAGAGAGAGATGGGGCGAGAGACACTGAGAGAACAGACAGAGAGAGAGAGTGGTGGAGACAGAACTAAACAGACGGGGGGGTAAAGTTCAGTAAAAATACAGATTGTTGAACATGTTAAAACTTGTATTCTGAAAACGTTGCTGCTGTAAGAGCTCAGAGAACTCAGTCTGTGATTAAAGGTCACAAGTGTCGTATGTGCTTTTAAAGCTCCATGTTTCTTCTTCTTCTGTGTTTTATTTGAAGTGTTGATCCATCAGAAGATATAAAAACCATCTCAGTGTAGTTTCACATCTCCTCTCTCAGGCTTCTCTCTGGAGCTCTAGTAACAACAGGTCAGTGAGCCAATCAGAAGAGAGGAGGCTCTGAGCCTCTCTTCTGATTGGCTGACGGTTTTCTGAGTGATCAATAAAAATAAAGCAGATTTCAGGTAAAAACACCCAGAGAAACCAAATCCTGCAAGGTTTGGATGGTGGGTCCAGGTGGGCGGGGCTTGGTGACTGCTTTGTTGTGACATCACAAAGTTCCAGAAGTCCTGACGGCTGGTTTTAAGGCTCAGTTTCTGAATACAGGCTGTGTGCATTTCTCTGTGGACTGAGGCTTTGATACTTTCACAGTATTAATATAGAAGCTAGAGCTGATCTATAATCACACTACACATGGACACAGACCTTTACACTGGAGGAGCTTTAAAAGGTTCGACTTCCTGTTCAACAGAAAAACACGTAATTGATAAACTCTATAAATATAAAATATAAATTGAATCTATGTCTGACTGAAATAAGAAAGATAAGCAGCAGCTGTTGACTCTTGAGATAAAAGTTCATACAAACAAAACAAAAATCATCTCAAGAAAACGGCTCCGAATCAGGAAGTAAATTATATTATAAAGCTCCAGCTGCGGATGTTTTATAAAGTTTATAACGTAACTTCAGCTTGGTGTCATTTCCTCTCAGTCTCTCTGACTGGACCAATCAAAGCGGAGCTCTTCTATCCACTGGGGAAATATCGCCATCTGTAGGTCGCCCGACAACCAGCGGAGCCGTCGGTCTCGACGTGACGGTTTCATTTTCGGCCCCTTAAGTTTGAGCGAAGCCCGAATGTTTAGAATGTCTGGCTCCGCCCCCGCTCATTCTGATGTCCACTAAAGTCCCAACGTGAGGAACATCACCTGAGCCCAGTGCATCCTGGGAAAGGCTGCCGTCACCCTCCTGTCAACCCTCCCGCATTAGAAAGGAACAGGATGGTCAAGAAGTGTAATGTATGTAAATATAATGTAAATGTAAAGACAGATGCAAAGTGTTATTCTCACAGGAAGTGCTGCAGCTCAGTAATGAGGTGAATACTAATTGATTTACTTTTAATTATCCCTCCGTCTTTTTTTTTTTTTTTCAATTAAAAAGCTCCGCAGCTCGTCACCACACTGTAATGAGCGTGTCATCGTGACAGTGTGGGCGTAGACCCACAGTGCAATTCTATACGTGTGTGTGTGCATGTGCGTGTGTGTGTGCGTGTGTGTGTGTGTGTGCGTGCGCTGTTACAGGGTCTTACGAGATCAAGGTGGGTCTACATGACAGCGCTGCACTTCAGAGGCTCAGCAAACACAACATGGCCGCTCCCTGCAGACAAACACACACACTGATACAAACACACGTGCACACTCAAATCACACACACACACTGATACAAACACGTGCACACTCAAATCACGCACACACACACACTTACACCAAGATACGCAGAGAGATATCCCATATTACACACACACACACACACACATACACACACAGCGATGCCTAGATTGTGTTTTGTTCTCATCTTTTTTCCTCACTTCTCTCTCTCCCTTTATCTGTCAATCTGCTCTCTCTCTCTCTCTCTCTCTCTCATCTTCCCACCACCCCCTGACCACCACCCACCCCCCCCGCCCATGCATGACTTGGTTTCAAGACCCAAAACTGCATAGCCTCTTTCATCATGTCTATCATATCTGTCGCTATGCGTTTCGCAGCTATGAATCACTGCACAAGCACATTCTCTCTCTCTTCTCTCTTTTTCCCTTTCTTTCTCTATCTACACTATCACATAACCAACACACACACAACAAACACACACAAACAACAACACAAACACCTACACACCACACACATTACACACATCACACTCACCAGTGCCTCCTTCTTCATCTGCAAACTGATCAAGCTAAAAGTGAGGAGAGGACTCCACCTAGTGGTGACAAGTTGGAGTCACACTGACTCCTGGGAAATGTGTGTGTGACTGTAGAATAAAAAGACCAGAATATGATACAAAGACAATAGAAATGTTCATAAAAAACACAATTGAATCGACTCAAGGAGCCATTGTTGTCTTCATATTTCTATTTGTAGTCAGTGATGAAGTCTGGTCGTATTAAACACAGCAAACATTTCAAACCAATAGAATCTTTCTTTATTTCTAAACAGACCTCAGATCAGATCATGGCCTCTGTGAAGAATCCTCTGTCAGGACCCTGACAGGTTCAGACATGACACAGTGGAGGAGTCGGCTGTGATTGGTTTTTCTCCTGTGATCAACACAGTGTAATGTCCATCACATTTTCAAAATAAAATAAAATTCATTCACTGACTAAAAGCTCTGCTTCAAAGTAAGAGTACTTCACAGAAATATGGTGGAGTCAAAAGTCTTTAAGTGTAGAGCAATAAAGTCAGAAGTTTTTAATAAAAAATAATAAAAGTACAGATACTAAAAATATACTTAAGTACAGTAACTAAGTGAAAGTACTTAGTTACAGTCTGGCAGCTGCAGCTCAGTTCTCTGTAATGAACCCTGATGTTAGAAATGTAAACTGTTGTGTTTGTGGCTTCCTTAAGGAATCACTACGTCTCTGTGTTCGTGAGTGAGAGCGACACTAAACCTCATTGCACATTCTGACAGGTTCATGTTTCCTTGCTTATTGCACCTCGGTCGTACAGTAATACCTCCGCTCCACAGAGCGTGACTGAAGACCTTTTCAGGGGCGCCTCGAGTGGCTGCAGGTTTCTGCATCGATAGGATCCTCCGAGCAGCGCCGACAATAACAGCTCTACTCCCTCTGCTGCTCTGTGTGCTGCAGGAGCACCTGCTTTTACTACAACACAGTCCTGGAATCAGTAGAGAGCAGGAAACTAGAATTACGGCCTCGCAGTTGTCTGTCTGATGTTTTACCACCAAAAACGAATCACTTCGTCCTTGAGTCCAGGTGAACGTCTTTCCCAAATTTGACAAAATTCCCTCAAGGTATCACGGAGTTATTGCATTCACAAGGTCAAAACCGTGTTTTGTGAGGTCACAGTGACCTTGACCTTTGACCCTTAACCACCAAAATCTACTCAGTTCATCCTTGGGTCCATGTGAATGTTTGTGCCAAATTTAAAGAAGTTCTATCAAAGCGTGACTGAGATATCGTGTCCACGAGAATGGGCTCTGACTGTCAGTAGAAGGAGGAATTGGGCAGGAATATTGAGCAGGAAACACGTCCTCCTCATGTTTGATGATGTCACACCTTAACAAAGAGAGAAAGGTGAGATAGCAAGAAGATATTTTCTTATGTTCTCTCTTTCAGCGGTGGCAGAAGTCGGGGACTCACCTGGAGCACCTGGTCTCCCGGTTCTGCCTGGACTCAGAGATGGCTCTGGACGGGATGGACTCGTCACGGATGCTGGTGATCAGCCCCTGTGAACTGAGCGCATACACACAGAGATGGGAGGTCCCCTTCTCCTGACCCCTGACCCCGTGACCTTTCACCTGCCCCGTCACCCATCCTCCGCCTCAAACACCTGGGCAAGAGACGAGCTGCCCAGACAGAGTGAAGATGCATGAGCACGTCATGTCAAGGTGCTGCGTTCAGGAGAGTCCGACAGAAGGTTGACGAACGTTCGTAGAGTTTTTGATGCAGATCTGAAATCCTGATGCACTGAGGATCTGTGCTGGACTGAGACACTGAGACACTGAGACATGTCGGGTTTGTTTAAAGTGTCAACATTCGAGGCTGTTCAGAAGTTTGGTGGAGAGTCAGACCAAGTGCACCTTAAAACCCTGAAACTTTGCTTGAGGAAAAAAATATCATCAGAGAAAGTGTCTGTTTGAATCTGGGAATTAAGACCAAGCACAACTGGAGGTTTTAGTTCACTTGTTAAAAAAGCACAAACAATCTGTTGCGTCTCTTCTTGCTCTAAATTTCAGAACTTCAGTTTGCTTGTGACCACACTGGCTTCTTGGTACAGAAGGTAAAGATCTCAAACCTCCGAGCGACTCATCAAACATCTCAAATATTTTTTATTTCAATTTTATTCTCCAGTTGCAAGAAAACTTAAAGTAAACCCCCCCCCCAAAAAAAAAAAAAATTTGCTTTGAACCAAAAGAGAGTCAAAAGATGACAGAACCAAAACCATGTAACACCAGTGAGTCCAGGTTTGTCTGGATTTAGTCCTCACTCAAAACTGTTTGGGATTGTTTCTGTAATTAAAATGATGCTGTTATCTATTCTGTGACCAGAGACCGTCTCTGTTCTGAGGAGTGCAGTGGATGAGACTCTGTTTACAGGAGAATCTAAAACAGCCTCCTCCAACACGTGAGCACATTTAGCCACAGAAGAAGAAAGGAGGACAAGATCCAGCCCAGATGGCAAAATAAAACTTCTGGCCCAACATATGTTGGGCCCTTGGCCCGAGTCTGGCCTATATCTGGGCAGAGTCCGGCTGTTATTGTCAGTAATGACGTGACAGCTGGAAGATTTTCTGTGTGTGCACCAGATTTGGAAGCAGCACCTGACAATCATGCCGTATGTGGGCCAGATTTGGGCCGTGGAACCGGGCGCATGCTGGGCCAGAGGAAAACAAGCATGTGGCCCAACTCCGGGCCGGATTTATTTGACTTTACTGACAGTGAAGTGCAGGTGACAGAACAGCATGAATGCAGCACGTGGTTTCCTGTTTCCTCCGTGATGCAGCTGCTTCATGTTAAACATCTGGTGTGACGTGCTGCTGACGTGCATGTGAGAATTTTCTACATGAGTTTACATCGTTGTTTTTTCCCACACAGTTTAAACTCAATCAAACTGAAGGAAAAGCTTTAGTCACGATGATCTTTCAGTCGATTCATTTCAGTCATGTTTCTTGTTACAGTTCAGAGACGTTACAAGGTGATTCTTCTGTGGGGGGTCTGTTTTTCTCCTCAGGCTTCCTTCAGGATCAGGGGTGATTCATGAAGCTGCCAAAGCTTTTGTCGGTCACGAACTTGAGAGTGTTTTTGTTTCTGAGCACACTGACAGGACGCAGAGCTGACGGACAAACTGCAGCTGCTGTGGAGGTCAAACCTGTGACGTCATGTGACAGCCATCTTTGGTTTTTCATTTCAAATTCCTACGGCGTGGAACACGACTGAAGTTAACTGCAGACCTTCACATGTTTGAGTGATGTCTGATCATTTTTCTCTCCAGATTGTTGTTCTGACATTTTGAAATATCCTGTTTGACTCCTGAATAAAGGTTTTATAATGGCTGATTCTGTTCTACTGAAATAACTGATGTTTACATATGGGAAAATGAGCTGCCACACACACGCACACACACGCACACACACGCAGCACACTACTAATATATAAACATTGACATTAATCATCTACTGCTACTTTATTATATGTTATTAATGCATTCAGTTTTAATTTTATCATTACAATATCTACAGCTGTTACTGTTGCTCCTACTGCAGTACAATCATTAACGCTGTATCACCATTTATACTTCTATACTATGGAAGCTGAGAAAGGCCATACTCAGTATCTATTATTATTAAACTATCTATCCCGGAGAGAATGAGATATTATCAGAAAACAATGTTTTATCTCGAGGTAACGAGACATTATCAGGAGAAAACAACATTTTTATTTTAAGATAACGAGATATTACCAGGTGAAAAATGATGTTTTGTTATCTCGAGATAACGAGATATTATAGAGAACAAAGGAGAAATTAGCTTTGTTACCTTGAGATAATGGAATAAAAATATATTTTCGAGTGTGGCGAAACTGAAGCTCCTGACACGTGTCCGCACTGCTGCCACATGATTGGCTGGTTGAATAATTGCATGAATAAGCAGGTGTTCCTAATAAAGTGTTCAGTGAGTGTATAGCCTCAACTTAATTAAATAAATATCCCCATCATTACACAATTAGGATCATGTGTTCTGTACTGCTCATAAAGAAACAGCTGAACAGTCTAAACACTCAGGAACTATTTTCTCTGTCTGTGGGAATGGAAATGTGTGGTGAGATCATGTTTTCAAGCAAATTGCAGCACAATAAACTGAGGTGAAAGACGGGCTGTATACACACACACACACACACAGAGAGAGAGAGAGAGAGAACAGACCTCCCCTCCTCTCCTCTCTCTGACCACTGGCTCTCAGTAACAACACCGTGAATCATTAATCCGCCTCTAACATCTTCACTTTGAGCTTTAACGACCCGGAACAACAGAGGATGTCGCACATTAGCAGCTGACATTTTATCCACACGATCCGTTTTCATCGACACCGCTGTCTTCTACAGGAGACCCGCTTTTACGTAAGTACAATGACCTTTTCATTTCGCCATTTTTCTGCTCCCCTAAAAAAAAAAATAGAAAAAAAACCCACAACGGAGGATGTTCGACCTAAATCTCAGTGTTCCTGAATTTAATTTGAGGTAACGGCTGATGGTCATGACGTAAGAAAACGTGACATTTCGGGATGCTCTCGATAACATAAATAAATAAATAAATGAAGACATTCACAAAACGTGATCGTGAGCTACGTTTCCAGTCGGACCGCTATTTCCGCCGCACCGACGTGGCTGCAGTCCGTTCTCTGATTCGTACCGTACTAGCCGATGCTAGGCAACAGAGCAGAAAGACAGGCTGCGTTCAGGTTACAGGAAATGTAGGAATTTGGAGATTTAAGTAGCTAAAATGGCGTTAAATTCGTAAAAGGAGACGAAAATTTAACGTAAGAAAGGGGGATATAATGCAGAACAATGCATTGTGTCGCTTTTGTTGTTATTAGCAGGAGAGCAGTGAAAAATAAACTAATGTTTAGTTCTTTAGCTTTCGCTTCTTGTTCTTGTTTTCCCGGTACACTGTTCTCATTTTTACAAGCAGCAGGACGAGATAAACGCTGTCTGTTAATATGGTGTTACTCTGCCCTTCCGGTAGCACTTTTTTATAAAAATTTTTTTTACTGTATTTGGAAAACACGCGCTTAGCCGAGGATAGTGAAGGCAGCATAGGTTTCCCCGGCGCTCAGTTGAACGTCATATGTAGGGGACTGGTGCTAGTTTTACACAGCTAAATAAAAACCGACTTAAATCAGCGATAATGTTGGTTTCTAACGGTTCATCTCGATGCGTCCGAGCCGAATCATAAACGATGTCAGTCCCAGCTCCGCGGAGAAGTAAGTCAGTGTGAAGCAGCTGCTCACCATAAAACATAATCACATAATTTAAGTTGTGTTCAGTGAGGCTAAAAACAACTGACTTCATTTAACTGGTTGAAACTTTAAAAACATACAATATTTTACGCTCTTTTTCACTCAGGGTTTGTTCTTTAAGGTCTCAGCAACACGATTGTTTTGACATTTACAGTAAATTAACTCAAAAGTTCTGAAAAATAAACTCAATGAACAAGTCTACAGTTAAGACCAGGGAGACCTTTGTACTTCCGGTTTCTTTTACTTGAACAGACTTTAATGTAAAAACCTAAATACAATTTTCTTTTTAAAAAGAAAGAAAATAAAATGTCTTCTGTGCTTTAGTTCTTCCTTATTAAAAGTTTCGATCTTATTTCTCTGGTATTAGAATTAGAAGTTCACCAGAGAGATTAACAGACCGTCTCTGGTTCAGATCTGAGGAGTTGTTGTTTTTCTCTGTTTTAACATGAATGTAAATTAAATATCTTTGAGGTTTTGAACTAAACCAGACATTTAACGGCTTCACATCTGAGCGCTTGTGATGACCATCGTTCAACATTATCAGATGTTTTATGTTTGGTCTGTATTATAGATATAATACATTACATATAGAGACATGTAAAATGTCAGAAGTCACAGTGACCTTACCAACCTGGTGTCTTCTGATTGCTGTGTGTCCAGTGAACTAAAAGTGATCGATTTAATCAATGAGTCAAATTACAAGAAATGATCAGCAATGGTTTAATTAATCATTCCCCATTTTTTTAACTGAATCTGAATCATTAAAATTCACTGGTTGAAATGTGAACATGTGACGTCCTGTGATTTCTAACCATTTATTTACTTTTTATTGATCAAATTGATAATTGATTAACTGAGAAAATAATCTGCAGATCAATCAATAATTAAAAAAAACAGTCCAAAACCTAAAGATGAGCAGTTTCCTGTCACACAAGAAAAATAAATCCTCATGATGAAGAAGCTGTTACCTGAGGAGTTTGACTGAAAGACTGATATCATTGATCAGTTTTCAAAAATAATTGCTGATTTATTGATTTAGTGATACTCAGCTAATCAATTATTTCATCTCTACACGTTGACACCTCTCGTATATCTCTCTTTTCCTCAGTCGCCCCATGTTCCTTCGCCGGCTGAGCTCCCTCGGCTCCGCCTTCCTTCCCCGCAGACACCCTGCTCTCTGCAGCGCCTCCTCCCCCTCCGTCCCCCAGGTTGTCCCCGCTCCACATCCATGGTGGTCCGTGCAGGGATTTCCCCCCTGGCCTCCGCGACTCCCCCACACCCACCCACCAGCTCGTCAGGTTTTCACAGGGAGGACGTTACACCCTCATAACATCAACCACGGTAACTTTGGCCGGAGTTGCCGTTCGTTCTCCACCTGCGGCGGTCTCTTGATGGAGCGGTCCGGCAGAGATCGAGAGCCTCCTCAGAAACGGAGGAAGAGTGAAGAGGAGAGGAGGAACGAGGAGGAACGAGGAAGACACACTGGAGGAGCAGCAGGGGCGACGGGAGGCAAGGCCAAGGATGGAAGCTCCAAGAGGGAGCACCATCACCTGGATCCCAGCGTGGACAGACGCCCCCGCCCAAACCACCACTTCAGAGATGGAGGTGAAGAGAGAAGGAGGAGCGGAGCTGCAGGCGTCAGCAGAGATAAAGACGGAGACAGAACTAAAACTGTGAGTCAAGACAGACAGAGGAGAGACGGCAGCGGTCGAGACGCGACCCCGAATCAAAGGTGGCATAAAGATTCACAGGCTGCAGGATCCAGGACTCAAACCCCGAAGTCTAAACCTGAACAGGGTCAGGTTCCCACGCACAAACCCAAACCTAACCCCTGGTTCAAAGGGAGGGGGGCGGAGGAGCAGGGGGGGCATCACAAGAATACAAAGGGACCGGAGGAACAGACAAGGGACAGACGTGGCGGTGGAGGTCCGTGGGCGGGGCTTCCGTCCCAGCCTCGTGGAACCACTCCCCTAAACCCGTGGCAGGGAGCTGGAGCCACCAGAGAACCTCCTCCACCTCGAACCCCCCCCCGCCCGCCACACCACAGACGGAGGCCGCACCAGTCAAACGTAAGTTCACTCTTTTAAGGAGTTGTTTTATGATTTAACAAAACCAGTTTCCAAAGCAGAGCGCCTGTTTCCAGTTTCTCCTCCAGTCTTTGCTTTTCATTAATTGTCCTGTGGGAAAAAAGAGAAAATAGAAATGGATCAGGACGACGTTGTTGTGAGGTGACAGTCGGTCAGTAAACCTCCTGTTAATCTGTCCCGTCTCCCTGTCCTCAGCTCTTCACAGACACTGGGAGTCCTCTCCTTTCTGCAGTACCTACCCACAGCCACCGGGGGTCAGCGCAGCCTTCGACTTCTCCGTGATGTCCTACAACATCCTGTCCCAGGAGCTGCTGCAGGACAACGACTACCTGTACAAACACTGCGACCCCGCCGTCCTGCCCTGGGAGTACCGGCTGCCCAACCTGCTGACAGAGATCCAGCAGCTCGACGCCGACGTGAGTGAATCAGGTCGAACTGTAATGACCCTGTTCCAGCTGACGCTTCATTCATTCATTCATTTATACTTTTTATATGATATTATACTAACTGTGAGATTCTGACATGACACTATTCTTTGCTGTTGCATTTCCATTCTTCAGGGAGCAACTGTAACGAAACACAGTTTCCCCCTGAGGATCAATAAAGTTTTCTGGTTCTGGTTCTGACATCATACAGGTGAAACACCTGTGGTCCAGACTTCAGGTCTGATGAAAACTCCTTTTGTTTTTTCTAGATCCTGTGTCTGCAAGAAGTCCAGGAGGACCACTATGAAAACCAGATTAAACCTGCTCTACAGAGACTAGGTACTGTGTGTGTGTGTGTGTGTGTGTGTGTGTGTGTGTGACAGACACTACAGATACTCTAACTCAACCTGTGAGTGATTAAATGAACATGAATACAAATGTATTTTTAATCTTTGCAGTAAAGATGCTTTTAATTTGAAAGGATGGAATTAATTTAATTAATTAATCAGTGTGTGTGTGTGTGTGTGTGTGTGTGTGTCTGTGTGTCTGTGTGTGTGTGTGTGTCTGTGTGTCTGTGTGTGTGTGTGTGTCTGTGTGTCTGTGTGTGTGTGTGTGTGTGCGTGTGCGTGCATGCGTGTGTGTGTGTGTGTGTGTGTCAGGTTACCAGTGTGAGTATAAGAAGCGGACAGGAAGGAAACCAGACGGCTGTGCTATCATCTTCAAGTCGTCCCGCCTCTCCCTCCTCTCCTCCAATCCCGTTGAGTTTTTACGCCCCAGCGACGCCCTCCTCGACCGGGACAACGTTGGACTGGTTGTGCTGCTTCGACCTAACCACGCCTCCAACCAGTCGGATCCCTCCGCCTTCATCTGTGTCGCCAACACGCACCTCCTCTACAACCCCCGCCGCGGCGACATCAAGCTGGCCCAGCTCGCCATCCTGTTGGCCGAGATCAGCCGGCTGTCCCGCCTCCCAGACGGGTCGACTAATCCCGTTGTGCTCTGCGGGGATTTTAACTCCACCCCCTGGAGTCCACTGTACAGCTTCCTGACCACTGGCTGCCTGGACTACAGAGGACTACCGATCGGCATGGTGACACACACACACAACCACACACACACACACACACACACACACACACACCCACACACACACACACACACACACACACACACACACACACACACACACACACACACACACACACACACACAACCACACACACACACACACACA